GGCTCTTGGGATTATTTGTTCCATCACCTTTTTCAGCACATCAAGGTTATGCCTCAAAATTGTTAATTAAAGCATTGAGCTTAGACGTGAAGCAGAGTAGAGAGAGTATTCTTCCCAAACAAGGTATTTCACCGAGCTGTAGAACAGATTCCTCTTCTGAAAGCAAATCATTTAATGCTTTGGAAGTTCGTGTTCCTGTCATGGGCAAAAGACCCAGCATGGCACCACAGGTCAAGCTCTTGTTAGGGACTGAGAACCTACATGTTACTGCTGAAGGCACTAGTGGGGCAGAATGGTCTGCCAGTCACTGCTCAGGGATCCCGTGAACTGGATCATTTCTTGTCTTCGTGAAAAGGCTGGCTGTAACAAGAGCATTCATTTGGAGATCCTTGTTCCTATGTACTTAAAATAGTGTGTGGTAAAAGCTTCTGCCTTCTGGAAAACGAGCAGCCGGTGTGCCAGGAATCCAGAGGAGCGGAAGACAAAGATTCTTTGCCGCAAAAATCTTTGGAGCTTCCACCCTTGGCCGCTGAGATATTTTTCGTTTGATGATTGTGGCTATTAGTTCAGTGAGAAAGATGATAAAAGGTGTTGGCTGCGGTAGAAATGGTAGTAGTGCTGCACTCAGCTTCATCGAAATATATGAAGAAGACAACGAGCTGACAACTGGAAACAGTGGACCATCTGTGAAGCTCAGAGTGCTCTAACTAGATGCTAAAGATGCAAATAGTTCTTTTCAATATTTAGAAATCAACACAGTTTTCTAAAATGCCTATAAAAGCCTAGGCAACTGTCTAGGCTAAGGGTATCTGTTTATGATAGTGCAGATATTCAGGTGCGGATACGTATAGTGTGTCTCTAAAAGTTGGATAGAGTTTTCCCTTCTATTGGATTGGTACAGTCCCAGCAAAGGAAATACAATTCCACCATTCCACCACTGCAAGTGAGAGATAAATTTGACCAAAGAGCTCTGTATGAACAAATTTAGATTAAGAAATGCTGATGAGATCTAAGAATTTTCAAGAAAAACATAAAAGGTCCAATAATCTCTTTCTCATTCCACTGCTGTCATTGATGAGTGAAGTGTAGCTTCTTCACACCTACTTTCATCTGCAGTGATCTTTGCAAATGTTACTTATTTAACTTTCAAAATCCTCGGAGACAGAGGTGAAAATGGAAGCATCAGAATTAGCAGGCTAGTCACACAAACATGAGTAAGTATCTGGTAATAAGGGTGTCTTATACTTGATAAACCAAAAGTGATTTTTCTAAGGTCACGGCAGAATCATTGTCAGAATCTGAATTGGAACTGAGCTGCTCCTGGTCATCTGTGTAATAACTTACATGAACTCCCTTCCTCTCTGTTCGTGTGTGGATATGTTTCGTTAATAGGATCCTGTGTTCACTCATCTCAAATACCTTCAGCATCAGCATGAGGTATCATGGCCGTCGGTGGTTTTAGCCAACCTACACAATCAATCTTGATCTCCTTAATGAAAACTAGTATTTCTCACTAAGGAGTTAACACTTTCTTTTAATTGTGGAAGTAAAATATTTAAAAGCAGCTTTCTAAAATTCAAAGAAAATAATGTGTCCCAAAATATGTTGTCTTAAAATTGAAGCAACCTACTGTATAATTTAAAGAAAGCAATTTTTTTTCTTGATTGATTTTAATAACCATGATCAAGAGACTTCTCTTACAGATTTCTGGGAAAAGTTAAGATATAAACCTACTGCTACAGAAATACAAAATGACAAGCGCAGAATATGTTTACCTGACTTCAGGTGCTGGGATTCCTACCACAATGCAGTCCAACTGCACTTTGGTTCCTTCAGGAACTTCCCTGCTCTTCAGTTTTTGAGTAAAGCGCGGTGGTTGTCCCATAGGCTCATCAGAATATACAGATGCAGATTCTGATTCGGTTTTTAGCTCTGCACTTGTTAACTGACTGATAGATTCCAGGTTTGCTGCCTGTGGGTCATCTGCTTGTTCAAATGTTTTCTCTGCTTTGCTTTCCAAGTCTTGAGGCACTGGAATGGAAAGCCTTTCTCTGTTTTCTGATGTGCTAGTTAGGCTAGAGCCACCTTTCTGAGCAGACTTATTCTTAGAATCAATTTTGCTCCTGTAGTTTTTGCATGTTCGGGGTCTTATTCTTTCAGAGTTGTGAGCTTTGAAAAGTGACGAGAGCTCCTCAATAAAATCTGCCGCCTTGTTTAGGAATTCCTTTTTTGATTCTGATTCGGAAGGGAGGTGTTTCTTTAGATCCTGAGAGCTCCCTTTGGAGCCCTTCGTATTTCTGACGTGGTCCTGACAGAAGTTTGAGTGCAGGCCATTGTCTGACGTTTTCAAAGCTGTAGACTGGGCCATTTGTTTGTGTTTTCCCATGGAGTTCAGCTGTTCTGGGAGACGCTGTGAATGTGCCTGAAGCTCATCCTGTTTAGCTTCCAATGGATTCTGACCGATAGCTTGCCTTGCCAGGTTTACACTTTCATCTAGCTCTTCTTGGCTTAAAAAGGCAGAGAGATCTGGAAGGTCATCTTGGGCAGCTACTTCATCCGAATCACCAGAAGCATTGCCATAATGGAAATTATGAGCAGTTGGTTCTGATCTGCTTCTTTCACTCTTCTCCTGGTGTTTATTTTCAGCTAAATAACTTTCTCTCAGAAGCTGAGATATTGAGGTTGAGGTTTCTAAACTGTCGTCTTGCATGCTGCCAACAAAAAGGACAAACAGGACCATACCTTATCAATAGCAAATTTTGTGGTTGCACACAATTACAGGCTTCTGAAAAGCAGAACACAACATTTTCAGAGTGCATCCGTGTGCCGAATATTAACTTGTAACTATGGCCTTGTTTTGAAGGCCTGCTTCTGCACGTACTGCCAGATACTATTGCCTTTACCCAATAAAATCAATCTTTTCTCGCTTTCTACCATCGGTATCCTTACATATAGCTAAAGCAAGGGCAAGTGTGGTAATTTTTACTTTGTTCCAGGCAGAACTACAGAGATATTAACTGGGTTTCAATGTAACATCTTTTTTTCCTTGCTTATGTGTGTTCCTTAGCTAGGAAACAACTTGATCGTGTAGATGAAATGCTGGGTATTTCAAGGACTGGAAGATGTGAGAGAATAACACTGCTTTTAAATTAAGCTAATTTAGCTTGAAAGACACTGAAGTAGTAAGTAAATGAACCCTCAAAAGCATTTGAGGGATGAGAGGAGGAAAGAGAAGGGGAGAGAAGAATAAAAATATTCTATAATGACAGTTTTTCATCTAAAATTCTTAAAGATATTGCATTATAGGAAGGAATAATGGTGCTAAATGTTCTATACCTTCTTAAATCAGCATTAATTCTAATAATCTATTTAAAGTGAGTAGAGAATGATAAAATTATTTGATATGAAAGTTATTTCTACTACAGGCCTTTCAAAAACATTATCTTAGGTCATCCTGATTCTGAAAGAAATGTACCACAGATGAGAAGGCAGTATCAGAAAACCTGTACTGACCCTGCATGCCTGATAAGCAAAGCTAAAGTTTGTGCCTGTATGAAAAATTACAATAAAGTACCGTATAAATTATATGCTTCTAAGCACCCAGTCTAGTCCCAGCAACTGAGCCAGGGTCTGCAGTACTAATTGAACGCTTGGCCTTAAGTCATCTGGCACGGTGTGTCAGTGAAGCTGTGGCACATAAGAGAACATTGATTTGGGAAGCCCACATGAGATAATGTTGTAAGCTGTTTCATGACTGGTCAGAGCATGTAATTTAACCTCTTAAGAGAAAAAAAAGAGGTCTCCATGAGGCTTAAAGCTCCTGCTCTATAGATACTACTTTTGCTTGTTCAGCTTTTACTTCTTAAACAGCTGTGCAACCTTACTGAAGCTGAATGTGTTTAAGGGGTTATATTATCTTATGTGCTGATAGCATACTATGTGCTGTAAAGGTCACAGCTAAAGCTACAGTTTCAATTCTGGAGTTTAAATACCTTCTAACATAAGGAGTTTAGAGCCTGGAGGACAAGCCTTGCACATGAATGAACTGCAAACCTAGAATATAGCTAGAACACGGGGCAAGTTTGCTCTAGACCCCCTTCCCCTGTGCTGCTTCTTATCTACTTAAAAAGAGAGAGGAGGAAGCAAAGGTGTAGCCAGCTCTTTTCTGTGTACCACACCACTGGCTTTGCCTGCAGAGAGAGAACCTTTAGTGGGGTGTCATAGAAGGGGCAGTCTCACGGAATCTCCTTGGAGGGATGCCACTCCTCTCCACACGGCTCAATTTTAACACCCAGCTGTATGTATCCTCGAGTAGCTGTATTTTACGTAGCTGGAGAAGTATGTGTTTTACACGGTTGCAAAACTTAGCTTGCTACGTTTCTTGGCTGCTCTTTCTGAAGCATTTCAGAGTGGCACATCTTCATTTCATCTCTATGTGACTGTAAAGGTCATCGGAGCTGAAAAAAGATGGTGTGGGGCTTGAGAGAGCACCAGGCGCTCTAAGGAGGAAATGCAAGTTGGGAGATAAATGCTGTGTGATCAAAACCTGCCAAAGCCAACTGTAGTTAAAGAACTCCTGCAATAATTTTGTTGAGAGGGTATATGAAAGTCATCTCACTGTTCAAGGTTTCATTTTCCTCTGTTGCACAGCTACTGCTTGATTACCTCATTTAAGTGCTATGTCTGTTTCAACAGAGGTTGTTCATCATGGTGCAGCTTTCCTGCAGATAACCCTAGCAAAGCAAGTGTACGTCCAGTATGGTTATTTGAGACTTCCTTCTGGCTCTTACATATCTTCTATTCATCTTTTGAACAAAGCATTGCTACATGGAAGACATGATTTTGCCTAACGTCACAAATAATTTCTGCTAATTCCCTTAAGGAATTTTACTGCAATGTGTGGAGGAGATGCTCTCCTCCACACGTTGAACATGTGTTTAGATTGGCAAAATAGCTTTATAATTATGGTTTGCAAAAAGCTGTAGTGACAGAGCCACTCTCTGATAGCAAAAGGAGGAAAATGACAGGCAAATCACTGCAACATAACAGATATATAAAGCATTTTCTGTTCAGATGCCCAGGCTAGACAGCATGGCCGTATGTGGAAGAGCAAACCCCACTTGTCTGTCACAGTCCTGAGGGAACGTGCGGGAAGGAAAAGGACGAATCACTTGTTCAGCCCTGTCTCTGCCCCTCTGAGGGCAGCTGAGCAGATGTGAGTGCGAGAAAACAAACAGTTCCTCAGCAAAGGAGCTGCCACAACTTCCTTCTGCCTCTCGGAGCAGAGTACTCTTTCTGATATTGGAAAGCCAGATATCGATGAGAATGAATCCGATGCCAAATTCTTAGTCCCTAGAGAGCCATCACTTTTCCTTAGAGCTCACCCAGGGTCAGAATATTATGTGTAACTCTTCTCTATTTTCAGCTTCTGTAGAAGATAACTTTTTATTCTATTTTTAGGAAGGAAGAAGTTGGGTACTAGTCAAATGTAGCACTTTGAGGCAGTGCTTGGTACTGTAGTTTTAAGATATTTTGAATTGTGTGATATTTCTAATTAAATGGAGAATGTTGAATTTCAGTAAATGTTGCTGTGAGGCTACCAGACAGTTACAATTATTAATTAATCCTTGCTTCTGCCTTGAGAGAAGTCCATTATTTTTTTTTTTTTTTTTTTTTTTTCTACAAGGAGTTATACTCTGTAAGGACTACAGAGGGCTGATTACTGAGGGAAACACTGGCTAGGCTGAGCCATTCAGATTTCAGTCAGGGAACAACAGTTTTTGTTCACATGAGACTGAGTGAACAACTTGACAGAGTCTCTGGCCTAGATAGAAAAAAGTCTGAATTCAAAGTATTTTCTAAGAAATCTGTTAAACTACCTTTCTAGTGAGCAAAAAGGTATCACTACAGGAACAACTATGCTATTAATGGTAATTAATAACAATTTAGCCTTTCTATAGCCAAAATTGGACTCTAAGCTCCAAAGTGAAGATCTAGTCTTGAATTCAGTCTTTCTCTTTGCTGACTTTCTGGATTGTTTGGTCCAGATTGTGGAATTGGCCTTGAAATGCATTGAGTCTTCCCTTTAATTTTTCCCGATAGGGACTTGGGAACAGAAGTGTCTTTGTGGCTGCACAGAAACCTTCCCACGGTCCCCGGCGTGTAGCGGCACTGGACGGCAGTGCCCACACACCGCAGCCATGCCATGGAGCTAGCCAAACGTGTAGAGTAACTGCAGAGATCTCTGCTGAGCGAGGTAAGTGCAGATAACTCTGCAGATACGTCTGCTGAGTAAGCAGGAAGAAGGAAAAACTCCAGTTAAAACACAATAGAGAGTAACCTGTGGTGTCAGTGGAAGCACCAATAATTTTGCAGACTGGAAAAAGGTGTCTCATAATGAACCAGTGTGGAAGGGAGAAATTGCAATGCTAATTACAAAAAATATCTCTAAACGGGTGTTATTTAGGATGGAAAATGGGATGACTGACTCCAGCAGTCAGCAGCTCTGTCCTCTTGACTCGTTCATTACCTACAGCACCACACGAGTGCATTGAGGGGAACATTTTTTGCTTTCCTGGGGCAGTAACAGCAGTGACCCTGGGCACCTATTATCTTGAGAGGCATCAGATAACGTCATGAACTAAACTGACTGCGTAAAATTCAGTCTACTAATTCAGTTTCCACTACCCAACTAATTGCAGAAGTTTTCTGAGTTTCCAAGAGCATGTATTTATGATAATGGTCTCTTATCAGCCAAGTGATCTTTATGATAAAATATTCACAAAGGGAGAATTAGTTTCCACGGTTTGTTTTGGCAGCGGTGTGACCTGAAAATCCTTACATGGAAGGGAGGAAAATTGTGTCGCAGGAAGCTTTGCGCGGTTTACACCAAACCCTTTCATTTCCTCTTGTTTGAGTCTTGTTGGACTCATTGCTGAGTCATTACTGAGAGCATCTGAGCTTTTTCTAAGAAAACAGCAGCAGTGAAATCTCAGCAAAGCTGAAGGGAATCCCAGGTATATCTGAGTACAGATCCTCTGTTTTCTTTGGTGAGAGACAGCTCTGAATGCCTGATGCCCTAAAGATGGGGGTTTTTTAAAAAGCTCCTCCTCTGTACTGAAGAGGTTATCTGCAAGTAGCACATTTAATGCAAAAAGCATCCAAACATGTTCTTTGCCCTTCAGCTGTAGTTAAAAATGAGTAATTGTAGTCGGTACATGTTGTTCCCTTCTGGCAACTCAGTTCAATAGCATTACTTTAATTGAGGCTGCTTTATGAAAGGCCAGTGGCAGAAGGAGCTAACAACCTGCCACTTCTTTCTCTGCACAGTGGTGCTTCCGTGGCCTTTACACTGCAAGACTCTGGACCTGTACACCCAGCACCTCTGTCCGGGGTCTGGAACGTTTAGCAGATATTAGAGGCTTTATCCTTTTCCAGTAAATTTAATTGCACATAAATTGCATTTATCCTATAGGGCTGAACACCAGCAGTTATACCCATGTTCCAGTTGTACGATTAGAGCTGTGAAAAACAAGCTACGAGATGATACAAGGGATCTGTCTTGCAGACATTTAGCAATCACAATCACGCTCTTAGGTGCTTGCAGGAATTCTCATTCAGCGGTTGCCATTGTCATGGTCTCTGTGGCTGCCTGTTGTCGGGCTGTAGCTGCTGCAAGACAGACTCTGAGACTCCAGACATAGGGAAGGT